GGGCTGAGGACCGGCCTCATTACCCTGAATTCCTTTGCTAGAGAGACCATGAGAAACTTTTACATCAAATCAGAACAGAGAGGGTCCTCCAGGGGGGTTTCTTCTTGTTATTGAGCGGAGAAGTGAGCCCTCCTGGAAGCTGGTGGTGGGGACAGGAGGAGCTTTTTCTACAGGCCACGTACATTCCTATTTCAGTACCCACCTGTTGAACTGTACTGGGTCCTGAGCACCTCTCTCCCCCACTGCAATTGCACCTCCGAAGTGCCAGCCCCGTGAACCGAGAAATTTTCTCAGTTCAGACTTGCCTAGAGCCATTTTTTCCATTGGAGGTGTTTGAAGGAACTTAAACAATAGGACTGTCTTTGCAGAGACATAGCTAAGGAAGTGGATGTGGAATTGGAAGCTGATGATATCCGAACAGCAAGGCTCTCAGGCTGTGTTCAATTGTGCTTCAGTAGGAAAGACTCTGATTCAAAGACATCTCTTATGTTATAGGGAACGAGCTTTAGAGAGACTTTAATGAAAGCACCTTTTCAAAATAATGAGTCTAATCTCTCTGCCTAGAGAAGCTAGAGAGAAAAGCAAACAGCCAGGGAATTGTAGCCTATCATAATCAGTGCATGGATCACACTCCACAAATCCCTGATAAATTGGGGCTGTCAGACATGTTCCTTTTAATAGGCAATTCCTGCCCCCACACTACTTACTCAGTTAGTATTGCACAAGGAATGACAATGCTCACCAAGAATACATGCTTCTCAAACACAGTTGTACAGACTGTCTGGTTCCAAAGCTCCACTGTCCCAGGTTCTCCTGCACCCCAAACAAAGGAGCCGAGATAATAAGACTGCATGGGACATGTTTGGCCACATATTCGGCACCATCTCTAGCTGGTTCATGTCAACGGCAGCTTCTCAGACTCATTTCTAGAGAGCTTTCCATTTCTTCTGTTCTTGTTTACTCCACTGATACCCTCACCCATCCATAAAAGAGCTCTCCATAGGTCCTAGTGGGACCCTGCTGGCTGGTAATTCACAGGACAACCCAAATGCTCCTTCCAGTAGCAGGATTGAAGAGGGACACACCATGCAGCCCCCTGCTCAGCTGCTTTTGGAACACCTCAGATGGAAAGGTTGACAATGCCCCAAACCCACACTGCTGCTAACAGGGAATACCCCCTCTGCTCCATCGTATCAGCCATCCTTTCCCATGATGGGCAACCTCCAGGCAAAGAAATCAACCGGGCCATGATGTCTGGATTTGGTAATGGGGGGGAGGGGACACTCCCTAGGATGAACTAAACATTTAAGGCTTTAATATAATACATTGCCCTTCTCTAGCACCTGTAATATGGGAATCTGAAAGAGCTTCACAGACACTGGCTGAGCTCCACAACTTCTCAGTGGGGTGGTTTACTCTCCCTTTGCAGCTGGGGAATCAGAAGCGAGAGAGATTACGTGACCTACCCCTCATCACGCAGGAAGTCTGCATCAATGCAGGAAACCAAATCCAAATCTCTTGACAGCAGGTTTCCTGCCTTACCCACAAGACCTTCCTTCCTCCTATACATGTCCTTACACCTGTCCCTGTGCCCGCGTGCCTTGTCACTCCAGCTATCCTCTGGCCAGGACGGTTCATATTCAGAACTTCCGACCACTCAGCAACCCTGTTTGGCTAACCAGGCTCAATGTTTGCCTCCTGCGGCATGCCCTTCTGCAGCACTACCAGCCTGGCAGTCATTTGTAGGAACCCTACCCTTGGTCTCAATATCACTTAATGCATCTTCAATTCTGCAGCCAGAACATTGGGAATGAAACCCGCCCAGCGTTGCGCTCTCTTGGCTGCATCTGGTCCAGTTTAATTTCCACTGAATCCTAACTGCAAATTCACACGGAGGTGATAATTGACAGACTCCTTGTGCCAACATAACCAACCAATTTCAGCATCCAAACATTAACCACGCAGGGACTCTTTCCAAGCTTTGTTTGTTACAAAACATGACTGGCATTTTATGGGCACTGGCACATCTGTCTGGAAAATCAGAGCACATCGAGTCAGGCAAAGGGTTAGAAAACAAACAGATATAGGAGCAAGCCCACAACACACTTCGGCTTGACTTAAAACAGCAGTTCTCTTCCACCCAGTGCCAAGGATCCTCAAGGCAAAAATCCATGCCCTCTCTCAGTGCAGTCACCCAGGTTGTGTCACATATCCAGGGGATACAGCCCAAGTGGCAGTGCTTCCTGTGAGCAGTTTGAAGGGGAGAGAAGGTAAAATCTTTGTAGGGGAGTTAGAGTACCTTTCCCCGGGAAAACTCGTTTGAAAACTGTCAGACAACCAGGGGAATGTGTGTAAAATTCTGGGCTGCAGTGCCATCCATATATCATCTAGGTTCTCACGTTCCCCTTTGCATTGTAGTGTCTTCATACGGGATCAGAGGGTTGATTTGCACTAGAGTGCCTAGAGGCCCCAGTCAAGACCAGAACTCTGCTGTTCTGGGCACAGCACATAGCAAGAGAGAGTTCCTGGCTCAAAGAGCTTACAAACTAATTAGACAAAGGGTGGGAAGGGAAACAGGGTAAGTTATTTGCCCAAGATCATACAAAATAGGTCTGCTGCAGCCATTGAAATAGAACCCAGGCCTCCTGACTCCCCATCCAAAGTCCTAGCCACTAGACTGTGCTGCCTCTCAGCTCTACATCTTCTTTCATGGATGCAGACAATGCATTTTCTCTGCTTCCTAGTCTCTTACCAGGACAGGGACTTGTATGACAGGAAACTGTCTCCAATCTTTCTCTCTCTCTAATACCTGGGACCAATACAACTACAACATTGCACACAACAAATGGTCTGAAATTCAACCCGAAAAGGCAGAGGTGACAGGGGAAAGCAGTACGTGAATCTGAGAGGGTGCAATCTGCCCTCTCTCGAGCAAGAGTGCCTCTTTTTAACAGTGGGATGTATAGTCTCCTGGTTCTTTTGGACTCCCAACAGCCTATGGAAGCTGAGGTAGTGGTGATGGACACTAGCATTTTGCACTGGGCTAGGAGGTTATGATTTTTCTTCTTTAATACAGACCCCACCACAATGATCCATGCCTTTGTCTCTGCTATGTGAGACTGCTCCAAAGTGCTCTGCACTGGGGGTTACTGAAGCTTCAGCTGGTGCAGAACACGTAACATATTTGCTTGCTGTTAGTCATATGCACATAATCATCCTGGGCTGGTAGGGAGAACTGACTTCCTATCCGCTTCAAGATACAATTCAGAGCATTGATTCTGTTCCAGATCCTGGCTATAAGACAACAGCTTTCTATGAACCATGCCTGTAACTGAGATCAACTGAAGGACTTCTTGCTGATACAGACCCAGTAATATTGTCTGATGGGACCTTTAGTCTCTAAACTCTGTACCCTAAAAGACAAGGGTGGTTATAATCTGTTCCGTTTTAGATAAGAGACATAGCCCTTGGGCTTCGGGCACATTGCCAGCATAGCTCTTGGTTGAGCAGACTGGTCAAACCAACGAACATGAACAGGGTTTTTCTGCATAGACATCCATCGCCACAGGGGATACGTTGGGGCATGATGATGATGAACCAGCTCAGTGAGTACTGGGCCTTACTAGAGCAGGGTGAAGGAAGCCCATGGATGTGCTCTCTTCAGAGCAATTGGAGCTGCCTTCAATGCTCCAGTCAAGAGAGGTGGCAAATCTTCAGTGGGAGCTTTTCTCCAATAAATTCTTTCCTTCGGCTGCTATTGATACTGAACAGTTTTTGCCTCAAATACCAAAGGGAAGGATCTTGTGCAGAGATAAGAAGCAGTTACTCCACTCTCACAATTGCTTCCTAGCTAAATCAACTTGGATAAAGACCCAAAAGAGAGCAAACTGCAGAAATTCTTGATTTCATCCCTATTGTTATCCCACATGTGAGAAATCAGCACTCCATTTCCTGCTGCCTCTTCTGTTCCTGAGTATCTTCACTTGTAAGAAAGCAACACTGCCTTCAGTTTAATTCACCCGCCATCTTGGTAGCAGCTGGGCAAATTCCTGGAAACTCCGATTGCTCTATCAGATAGTCTAACTGAAGAAAAGCATCAAGAATGCAAATAGCTTGATGGGCATCACACTTTCATTTCATCAGCTCAAAGTTAGAGTACATGACCAGCGAGGAAGCATGGGGGTCAGGCTTTGGGTTCTCTTCCCAGCTCCGCCACTTAAATGTGTGACCCGCGGAAGATGACACGGAAAGGAATTTTCAAAAGTGCCTGTATGGCTTAGTCCTGCTGACTTTCAATGGGACTTGTGCTGATAAACTATGTCGGCATTTTTGACAATCCCATTCTTAATCTATATGTGCCTCAGTTTCCCCATCTGTACAAAACCGGATGATGCTGAGAAATCCCCAGAAAGGCAAACTGTTTACACTTAACAGTCAACACAAGTTTCAGCGATGTGTTTTATTTATGGCTAATGGCACAATAGGGAGTGACTGTGTCATAGACAGGCATGACTCCAAGGACACATACTCAGTGTTGAACAGGGCTGGCTGAATTCCTCGCTTAGGAAGGAGCTGTGGTCAAGTGAAAAATTCTCGAAGTATCATAACCAATGAAGTTATTCTGAGGTGTGATTATTGCTAGTTGAAAACTTTAATCTAAAGATGTGCATGTATGTACTAAGCTCCCTTCCTTGTGGGGTTCCCCTTTAAATCTTCCAGTCAAAGCTGACAGCTGGAGACGATGTTTGGGGGCTGGGCCGCCGGGGCAATAGACGAAGCCTGTCCAAAGTTGCAGGTGACTTACGCTTTGCTCCGAGGACGCCCTGTGGCCCCTCTCTGACACCCCTGGGATACTGGTGGGTCCCATTTCTACCCACGCTCCGCTCCAGACGGCGCCCACCTTTCCCTGGGAGCCCAGTTCCCCCGCCCCCCACCCGGGCAGCTATATAACGCCTGGCCCCGGGCGCTAGGCCCCCGGGCGGGGAGGGAGCATGCTCAGGATGGGAACCCGCTTCCCGCTCCTCCTCCTGCTGCTGCTCGCCAGCGTCCCCGCCTCCCGCTCGCGGGGCTGCAGCGGGGCGCCCCGGCCGGCGGGCGAGGCGCGGCCTGGGGGTGCCCCGGAAGCGGGGCCCGGGGACCCCCGGAGCGGCAGCCGGCGGCTGAAGATCGGCCTGATCTGCGCGCTGGGGGCGCTGGTGATGGTGAGCAACGGGGCGGTGCTGGCGGTGCTCGCCTCGGCCGTGGCGGGCTGGCGCCGCAGCAGCCGCCTCACGCTGCTCTCGCTGGCGGCCGCCGACGCGGCGCTGGCGCTGCTGGTGGTGCCGCTCAACCTGTACGGCAGCCTGGCGCGCGGGGCCCCGCCCGAGCCCTACTGCCGCGCCGCGGCCTTCCTCAACGCCAGCGTCTTCGGCGCCGCGCTCTACTCGCTGGCCGGCGTCTCGCTCGAGCGCTACGTCGCCGTCTTCTTCCCGCTCCGCCACGCGCGCCTGCTGGGCCGGCGCCGCCTCGCGCTGCTGCTGGCGGCCGCCTGGCTGGGCCCCGCCCTGCTGCTGCTGCCCGTCGCCCTGCCCGGCCGCGCCGCCGTCCTGCGCGTGCGCTTCTCGGCCGCCGCGCTGCTCTGCGAGCCGGACTACGGCTCCAACGCCGCCTACGCCGGCCTGCTGGCCGCCGCCATCTTCTGTCCCGCCGCGGCCACCGTCACCTTCGCCAACCTGCGCCTCTGGCAGGCGGCGCGCGCCCAGCGCCGGCGCGGCGACGGGGCGGGGCCGCCCGGCCAAGGGGCGGGGCTGAGGCGGCTCCGCCTGCTGCAGCTGGACGCCGCCTCCCGGGTCCTAGTGCCCGTCGTCGTCGCCTTCTACGTGTGCTGGGCGCCCTGCATGGCCACCATCCTGTACAACGGTGAGAGTCGGCGGGGGAATATGGGAAAGGGGGGAGCAGTAGGGTGGGGCAGGGGGATGGGATGGGGAAGAGGGTGGTGGGGAGGGGGGAGGGGTAGTGGGGAAGGAGGAGGAAGGAAGGAAGAGGCAGTAGAGGGGCAGGGGGATGGGGCAGTAGGATGGGGAAGAGGGCGGTGGGGATGGAGGAGGGGGGAGGGGGCAGTGGGGAAGGGGGAGGAAGGAAGGAAGAGGCAGTAGAGGGGCAGGGGGATGGGAGGGGGGCTGGGGCTGGGGGAGGGAGGCAGTGGAGTGGGGCAGGGGGATGGGGCAGTGGGGTGGGGGTGGGGGAGGGAGCCAGTGGGGTGGGGCTGGGGGATGGGGGAAAGTGGAGTGGGGCAGGGAGCAAGGGGATGGGATGGGGTAGGGGACAGTAGGGAGGGGAAGGGAGATGGTGGGTGTGGGATGAGCTGGGTGGGAGAGACATGGGGTATAGGTAATGGAAACGGGATGAGCTGCGGTGGGTACCACACTCTTACAAGCCTATGCCCAGGGTTGGTGCTGGGCTCCCTTGGCGAGCAGGGAATGGGACCCTTACACAATGAGGATGGAAGAGGTTAAGTGGAGCTCTCTCGGGTGTGTGGGGGTGTGCGTGTGTTTGTGTCACGCCCAGGTTGGCGCAAACAAAAACTGCCCATGCTTTTAGGATCTCTGAGCTTTTTAAGCCAACCTCCTCATGTCTTTGGGGATCTGACTTGTGTGTGTAACCTGTGGGGCTGGCAATACTAGGATCAGCCCCTGCTGGGGAGGGGCACCTATTATTAGGTGCACTTGCCCTGTCCTGGGGGAGGGATAGCTCAGTGGTTTGAGCATTGGCCGGCTCAACCCAGGGTTGTGAGTTCAATCCTTGAGGGGCCGCTTAGGGATCTGGGGCAAAATCAGTACTTGGTCCTGCTAGTGAAGGCAGGGGGCTGGACTCGATGACCTTTCGGGGTCCCTTCTAGTTCTATGAGATAGGTATAGCGCCATTTAAAAAAGAAAAAAAGACCCAAAACCAAGGGGTGGTTGGGAGCCCCGCTTGAAGTGGCCTGGCTTTGAGTGCTTGCATGGGAGAGGCGAGGGGTGGGGAATCCTTTGCATTGCTTTTGGGGATGGGGATGCTGCAGCAAAAGGGGGCCAGTAAATACCTAGATCTTGCCCCCTAATACGAGGGCCAGGGATTCCTTCTCTTGACCGTTCCCCCTTCCTGTAGTCACTTGGTGCAGCAATTGGGAGACTTGGTTTCCCTTCACCTCTGCCCATGTTACAGGTGAGTCGTGGGCTCAGCTGGGGCAAGTGAGGGTCTAGAATGGGAGCATCACACTAGTGATCCTGGGTTGGTGTGGTGCTGAGGCTGCCCGCAATGGGTGGGGAAGGACCACAGGGTCTCACCCTTGGGCATGAAGAGCCCTGTGTAATGTGGGGAATGCTCACCTGGTGCTCTCCTCCTTGCAGCAATCACGAAGGACCGAGTTCACGAGTGGCTGGAGTTTGTGGCCCTGTGGCTGCCTAGCGGCAGTGGCTTCCTCAACTGCTTTGTCTACTTCTGGACCAACAGGAACTTCAGGCACAAGTTCCAGAAGATCGGGCACAAGCTCTGGGGGCCCTGCAGCCGAGCCAAGTGGGAGCAGGACGTGCACAGGATGGTCACCATCAGTGCAGCGGTGGAGAGGAGCAGCAGCCAGCCTGCTCTCCCCCTGGACCGCTCCTGCAGTGGGTCGTCCACCAGCACCTTACTGCCCAGAGAAGCACAAACTAGCCTATAAGCTACTTGGACACTTTCTGTCAGCTGCAGTGTCTACAAAAGGCCGTTGCTGTGCTGGGTTCTATACAGCGCGTCAGGCTCTTTGTGGTCTGCAAGACGTGCGACCGCCTGGCTTTGTCAAGAGCCTGGACGCTGCTGCCTCCTGCGGGGGCTGGGGCTGCTCTGGCTGTGGGGAAGGAAATTGTCAAACCTCACCAGAGGAGGCCAAGCGTCTTTCCGTGAGCTTCACCGAATGGTGTCAGTGGAGAAATATACAAAGAGTGTTTGGGTTAAGGAGCCCTTCCTGGGAAGGGGTTTTGTGTGGGAAACTGGTCACAGCATGGACGTGAGCTTCTGCTATGAAAGAAACAGGACATTCACTCGGAGCGAAGTGCCTTGAACCATCCCAGCTAGGGGCAGAGAAGGTATAAAGTCCCTGCTGCCCGACAGCCCCACTCTTGGATACTGTAGATCACAGGCAACTCCCCCTCTGATCAGTGCAGTGTGACAAGGTCTCCCTCTAAGCCAAAGGGGACGTGGTTCTCTCCCCGGCAAGCCAGGTCACTCCAGAGTACCTGATGGGTTGGCAGTAATGGCTAGTGCCAGGTGTGCAGGAGAAGGCTGGGTGAAGTTTAAGGGCTGAGGGGAAGGTGTGAGATCCTGACTGCAAAGGGGACTGTCAAGCAGGCATTACGGTTCATGCCCCATGGCGATTACACCTGCCACATGATCACTTCTGAAACCTGCCCAAGGGCCTGCTGCTCTGGCTGCAGACTTCATACTTCCACTCACCAGGTTCGGATTCTGCCTCCTGCTCTGTTTGCCATCCCAGCTGGGTGATCCTCCTTCCCCTCCCCTCTCACTTCACGGGGACCCTGGACATAGAAGGACACAAACTCACTTGGGGGGGAAATACTTTTATATAATTTAAAAGAGAAAACTGGAGCTTCTGGCGCGACAGTCTGTCTGGTTTTAACACCTTTTTACCTCTGCCATCCAGATGTGGGGGGGGGGGGGGGTTAGAGTAGGTTTTAGTTAAACTGGATAAATTCTCATTGTCCGTGTGTTTGATCAATCTGGACAAAGGACTCCAGGTCACAGGGGTGGAACTTTAGGGAGCCCCTTGCTGACAGCATTGATTTTGGGTGCTCTCCTAAACTGTGTCCTGTGCAAAGGAAGAAGCAGCAGGCTGATGGGTAGCCTCACTCCTCCACTGTATGGCTGGGGGTTTTGCTAGGCTGAATGTCCCATCCTAATTGAAGTATCCCCTCCTGAAGCTCCCTCTCTTGCACTTTGCTGGCCCACTTCCCAGAAACAGGTGAGGAAATTGACGTTTTGTAATTAGTTAACCAGACTTTTAGTGACTTGGGCTGGTAATGGAGAAAGGTCAGGAGCTGGAGCTCTTCCTCCATTCTCCTCCCACACTTCTAGCCAGACCAGAGGATTAAATGAACAAACCCAGAAAGATGAAGTGAGCAAAACGAACATGTAGCAATCTGGGAAGTGCGGCTGCGGTTAAGGCCCTGGGCAGTTTCTTTGCTCTTTTGCAAGGTGAATTCTTCCAGCCCCTGAAACCTCCCCATCCAGGGAACGGCTGGCTTTTTTTCCCCATTGTCAAAAAATATTAAGTCTTAAAGTGAATGTGTGATGTCACAAGGAAAGCAGTAGTGTAGTAATGCTGTGTTAGAGCAAAACGGCCTCTGCTCTCCACTGTGACTTCAATTAGAGAATTTTTCTCTTAATGTTGGATTGTAAATAGCCATTTTATCTGTTCTCCCTCCCCAGTGTTCCTGCTGCTTGTTCAGGGCAGGTTCTGACATTCTTCTCCCCCCACCCCCAGTGATTTATACATCAGGGACCAGTGGAAACTGCATCAAATTGAAATAGTATTTGTAACTGACTTGATCAAGTGTATATTGTAGTGGATTTGGAAAAAGCTGTGCTGTGGAGTCTCTTCTGTCCTGTATGCACCAAACCCTCTTTGAATGCACACTGTATTTTTTATTACTGTCTAAGGTATATTTTTATCTCTTGGGTTTGGAGCTGTATGTAGGTAGATTCCCATCCCCCCCTTTAAATGTTATATTTCTGGGAAAAAATTATTTATTTAATTAAAAGGACTGTAAATATAAAATAAAGATTTAGTTATTTAACTTCAGGCTGAATGTGTTTCCTTGGCTGGCTGCGGACTGCAAAAGCAGCAAATCTGACAAGCCAAAGAGGTCTGGAAAAGGGGAGGTGTGTTCTGGCAAGCACCAGTTTTTGGCAGGGGTTGTGGAGTATTCAGGACTCTGATGAAGTAGGCCTGGGGAGAAAAGCACCAGAGGCGCTTGCAGTGTAATGTAAAGGACAATAGCACTGCCGGATCTAGAGTACACTTGGCTGGAATTACAATAAATGAAAAGTTATTTGGAGGGGGGGAAGCCTCCATGGTCTAGAATAGGATGGAGACCGTTCTGCTCCTGCTTTCAAGCTTGCATGAGCAAATATGGGTATTTTCCCACACAAATTAGGTGCACAAAATGCATGTGCAGTTGGGTACCTATCTTGCTCTTAAAAAAATCTGGTCCCTAAAACATCCTTGACACTTTGAATTCCTGGGCAGGTAAAACAGCCCTGACACTCATGGAACTGAGTGAGTTCCAGACTCTCTGGGAAGAGAACTGAAGTTCTAGTAACGTCAACCTGGCCACCCTGTGCACGTGCCTCGAGGCCTCATTCTTATTTTTAAATGACCAGCTGTCTTCACAGAGAAGGCAAGGCAGCAGCCGAGTTCTGTGCAGCTTCATGTGACATTTTATGTAGAGCATTTAATCCTCTAGTTTGCATAGCCATCAACTTCAGCTTCCTGTACCTCGGGGCTCTAGGGCTGATAGGGCAGCTTGGCTGCACTGAGGCCTCTGTTACTCCTGAGGGCATTCTGCGCTTAAAAAAATAGTGTGCACAGAATTTTTTTAAATTCTGCAAAATGTATTTGTCAAATCAATAAGTGGCAGAGGGGAGCACAGGCCACTGGCTGCACAGAGGTGGGAGATCACTGTGCAGCTCCCCCACCATGGGACACGGATTGAGGGATGAGGCTGCACCCAACCCTGACACAGCACAAGGACATGGCCTGCCCCAGAAACACCCCAGGGCCCTGCCCCTCCATGCCAGGTGCGCCAGGTGTGGACAGGCAGGCTCAGCAAGGCAGGATCTGTGTGGGTGGGTGGGGGGATCCAGGTGTAGGTTGAGAGGGTTCTGTGTGGGGCAATCTGGACTGGGCAGGTGGCTCAGTGGGGAATCTGGATGCACAGGGGCTTGGGGGGGGGGCACCCTCTGGTGCAATGGGTCTCTGCAGGGGGTCCAGGTGAAGGTGGTTTGGGCTCAGTGGTGGGGATCTGGGTGTGGGGGGAGATAGAGCTCATCAGGGGGGTCTTGGTGTGTGGGGATCAATGGGGGTGGGGTGTCCAGATGCTGGAGGAGTGGGGCTCAGTGAGGTGGGGCTCCAGGTGCAGCTGGTTGGGGCTAGGTAGGGTGGGGATCCAGGTGTGGGTGGCTTGTTGGGGTGGTGCAGGGGGAGTGGGGCTTGTCGGGAGGGGTGAGGCTCGGCGAGGGGGTCCGGATGCACAGGGGTTGTGCGGACGGGGAGCAGCTCCCTTTACAGTGATCCCTCCTCCTGCAGCTGAGGAGCGATGGGTGCAGGAACCTGGGGAGGGGGAAAGGGGTTTGCAGAGCTTCCTACAGCCGGGGGTGGGTCTGACCTGGCCCTGGATGCCATGCAGGGGTTAGCCCTGCTTTTAGCAGGGGTTTGGAGTAGATGACCTCCTGAGGTCTCTTCCAACCCTAATCTTCTATGAAAAGGAAGTCCTATCCTCCCCAACCCAGCCGGGACTAGCAGGGTAGGAGCGACCAGCCATGTCTTCCCCAGTCCCGCCCCCTCCCCCACAGTGATTTATCTCTCTCCTGGCTGCTCTGGGCACCCGAAGCATACTGCTGGGGAGGGTCTCATGACCGCTCTTGTGGCTTCCCTTTGCTTCCCTGTCAAAATTATTTTTCTGCGGGGAAGCAAAGAAATCTGTGGGGAACATAAATTCTGCACATGCTCAGTGGCACAGAATTTCCCCCAGGAGTTCTGTTTGTCAAAGGCGCAGCCATAGAGCAAACTCCCTTCACCCTGATCTCAGGGGAATAGGGGAAAGCAGCTTCCTTTAGGGCAAAGGGGGGCAGTTCAGCTGCCATGGGGTGCCTTGCCTAGGTCTTCCAGAGGTGGGTCTGGCATTGCTTCACATTTCCCCAAGCCTCCCTGCCTTGTTTCTTTCAGTGGGAGGCCATGGCCCCTTGCCCTGGATATGGGTTTGTGTTTCAATGCTGTACCAAGCACACCTGTGTGTGCTGGGCAGTGCCTACTGGCCCATGTGAATGCGGTGTCATGTCTCTCCCAACCAAGACCCAGTGGGAGACGCTGGCATACCTGTTTGGGCAGTTTGATGGTTCTCCAAAGAATTCACAAGACGCTTTCCATAAACAAAACCATTCAATAATTACACCTAACACTCCAATACAAAAGCCAGCCCCGGCTCTGATGGGGCGAGTGACACCCCTTGCCTCCTGCGTGTGCTCAGCACTGTCACCATAATATACAACTGTGTCAGTTAGACAAATCTTAAACCTAGGGTGACCAGACAGCAAGTGTGAAAAATTGGGATGGGGTGGGGGGTAATAGGAGCCTATATAAGAAAAAGACCCAAAAATCAGGATTGTCCCTATAAAATTGGGACCTCTGGTCACCCTACTTAAACCCGCTGGCTAGGCAGGGCCTGCAGGCTGCCTGCTTGAGCCAATGGGCCTGCCAGCCTGAGGGGAAATCGGCTGCCTTCCTATATATAAATACAGCTTATCTTAAACGCTCTGGTGAGAGTCCGTCTGAAGCTTATCTTGGCTTGACGACAAGAGAACCTTGTGATGATTCATAGGAATTGCACCCTGGCCACCAAAGCTGGGTCCCTCCCCATCCCCTGGGGCCCGTGCTTCCTTTTTTGGTCACGGTGGGTGTTTTGCAAAGTCTGAGGAGGGAGGGAGTGACTCGGCCGAATCAACGTCCCCCATCAGGGCCTCCAGCAAGGCTGCTGCCCTGGCTCCCCTCTAGGGGAGTGGCACAGCCTAGGTTGGGGCAGAGGTGGGCAGCCCAGTGGGCGCTCACTTTTGAGAAGGGCTGGGGAATGGTGCTTGTAGCTGTGTGCGGGGTAACATTCAGCGGGGCGGGGGCTTGTGATCCTGGTTGTGGCCAATGCATCCCCCCCATGATATTCCATCCAATCTTCTGTGTGCCTTCTCCCACACACACACACACACGCTCCCGGTACCTCCAGGAGAGGCCAGAGGCCTTGGTCACCTCC